CATCTCTCCTAACTGAAACTCCATACCTCTGTACGAGCTCTGCCTGGGCGAGAATGTGCAGAATTCTGACCTTTGCAGCTGTGATCGAGTGATCACAATTGCAATGCTTTCCAGGCACAGAACTGTGGTCTTTGCTGTGGAATACTTGCAGGAGCTGTTGCAAGCTATTTCTTTTACATAGGTTTTAATATTAGTGAACACTTTTCAGAAATAAGAGACTGGATTTTAAAGTGATGATTTTAAAGGTTATGCACAAACTTGTGTAAAATATAAAACATAAAGGATGAGCACACATAAAAAGTAATGCATAGATTTAAAGGAAGAGAAGCTATATGTACACATTTGTATAGTTAAAGTAGGTCATTATGTTTAAAATGCCAGTGAGCTTTTTCAAGTCATAGTCAGGTGATCTGCACAATGCTTTATCTGTTTTATTATTTTATACGTGCCATTGCCTGAGACGGGCCAGATTTTTCTCTAGGCAATGTAGGTATCTGCCTACAGGCGCCCTCCAAAGAGGACTTTCTGTTCTTTATATTTATATATATATATTTATTTATTTTTGGTTATTGTTCGGGGCACTTCAGATTTCTCTGCCTACAGGGTCCTATGAAGTAAATCCGTCCCCGGCTATGTGAGGGGAGATACGTTTTGCTCACACAGAATTTGCAGAAAAGCACTTCTTCTTCTTGATCATATTTTAGTTCTTTCTTATACAAGAGTGTTTAAAAAGGTTACAGAAACTGCAGTATATTTGCATTTGCCAAATAATTTTACATGTTTTTTTCAATCACAACTTGTGTCTATATGTTTTCAACTTTCTTCTTCATGCTAGTAAAACTATTGTTATTTTCACTGCTCTTAATAGCTAGGTTTGCAAAAGCTTTTGGTACACACTAAATGGATTTACTGTACAGTATATTCTGTGTGGCTTTTGAGGAATACACTGAGTGGCCAGATTATTATGACCACCTGGCGTTTGTAGGCAATTAGCTATAATTAGCTATAATTTCGCGCTGAAGTTGCTAGACCAGACCATTATAAATAGGGAAGCAGGTTGTTTACCACGACAGTAGAAGTGATTTTTTTCTGAAGATACGGGTAAACAACGCGATTTAACAGCCTTTGAACGTGGGATGATTGTTGGCGCTCAAGCCATGGAGCGAGAATCAGCAAAACAGCAGAATTCGTTAAATGTTCAAGTGCATCTGTTGTTAAAGTGTTTAAAGACTGGACTGTCAGCCGAAAATCTGGGTCTGAACGTGCGAATTGTGGCCGTCAGCGACTAGTCAATGTTAGGGCAGGATGGAGAGTGACAAGACTGGTACAAGACAACAGAAGGGCAACATTGCAGTGTCAGATTCCTCGCATCACCTTTCAACATCTTGTGGAGTCACGAGGCGTCCCAACGAAGTCATCTCGTGGCCCAACGAAGTACTGATGGGGTGGTCATAATAATCTGGCCACTCAGTGTATATTTTATTGAAAGTGTGCTTGGAGTCCAGCTTTAAAAACGACTGAAAGAAGGAAGGTGCAAATTCTTCTGTCCAGTGACCCATATCGGCATACATCATGTACTGTTTTGACTTAAGCAGAGGGTATTGCGGTTGGTTATCATGGGATACTGTGCTGACGGGATGCAATGGGGGATTTTTTGTGCAAAGGCCGTGTGGCACTGGACAGGGCTGCACAGTGAAGCTCTCCAGAGCAGGGCTCAGGTAAGTATTTAGATATGTGGCTTACACTAATATGGAGTGGAGGGGAGCTTCTCTTTAAGAATTAGCATGTTGCTACTTGCACTCTTCCTGGAATAGTGCTCAAGGAAAACAGAGGCGTGTGGCATATAATGTAATTGCCAACAACCTCTACTTTTCAGGAACTTTGATTTGAATATGTCTATGGAGATCATCTTGTTTTCAGTATAGATAAAATGTATGTTACACCTTTTTCTGTATATTAAATTATTATTACTCCAAACTTTTTAATTTGCATGTGTTCATGATGAATACTTCAAATGTAAAAAGTTGCTTGACTTGGTATGATGGATAATGTCATGTTTTGTAAGAGTCTGATTTAAAAATGTTGGTAGCTAAAGAAGATTTGCACCCAGAGGGCAGAGGAGACCACAAATGTTACGGTATTCTGTGGAAAGTAAGCAGCTGGGTTCCTAGTTTAGGGGGTTAGCGAGGATGAACGCCAAATAGATGGGGTCATGAGTCAAAGTATTTACATTTTAGTAATTTTTCTAGAATGCCGCATGAATGGTTTCTAGATTGGGATTTGAACTTCAATGAAAGTCATCCTATTTAACAAGCAGCACACACAATATTTAATATTGCCGCATATCTTGTATCTACACTATATATACCTTAATTTTAACATTCAGCAAAGGTTTCTTTTTGTTTGAATGGTTTAACAACCATTGTCAGTTTTTTTATTGCTTTCAATGTCTGTTTACAAAGACAGCCAGTCCACAAACATAGCTCAGAGGCCAAAATAGATATTTGTACCTATGCTGGTACTGTGTAAACATGTTCCAAGAAAAGGACAGCATGCCAAAATTTAGAGGAAACAGAGTGTTCTACTTAAGTGAGCATGATGAATGAACAACTGAGCTCCCAATGCTTGGGGGAACTGCAAGTTCTCTTTCTCAAAGTAACTTAGACACTTGGGAAATAGAACCTGCTGTAATGCTCACCTTAATGATTAGGTCAGAATCTATAGCTGTGAGCATTGCACCTATAGCAGCTTCTGTTCTCTTAAGGTAAGCAGGCCTGCCAGTACTTGGTTGCCCCTGGTCTTAGTATATAGTGCTACAGCTTCTGGCCAACTGGCACAATGGAAAGGAAGCAATGCTGTTGAGTAGCCAAAAGGAAGTCTAGGGGCTGGTGGTGGTCAGGGTAGACAACAAATAGTGTAATCCAGAGTCAATCCAAGGTCAGGGCAGGGAGCAAGACAAAGCAAAATACAGAAACAGCCCAAGGTCAGGGCAGGCAGTGGTCTGGAGAGTAGTCAATTTTCCAGGCAAGAGGAGGATTCAAAGACAAATGTAGGCAGACAAGAACAGCAAGGCAAAGGTAGGGAGCTAGGTAGCAAGATGTTATCGCAAGCCCAGAGCCCTGGGCTTGTGATGCTCAAATAGAGCAAATCAGGCAAGAGGGGGGTGGAACAAACAGGCATCGCCAAGCTGCTGCCTAGCAATGGGAATGCTTTGTGAAGGGAGCTGTTGCTGGCCAGTAGAAGCAGAGGGGGTGTTGCCTCTTCTGCTCAGCAACGTAGACACAGGGTGGGCATTTCATCAAAAACTGACAGATTTTTTTAACCTTGTCTAACATTTTATTCCGCCTCCCCTTTCTGGAGTTTCACTTTAAACAGTCAAGGTCATTGATAAAAATAATCTGTGAGCCTACAGCCTAAGGATAATGACTTAAATTCAAATATTTTAATTGGAAGATACATAATGTCATCCTATTTTTTTCCCTGCAGAAAACAAGCAAGTGGGGAGGTTCTGAAGGACACCGAGTTAGCTGACGTGGAGGAGGACGATGGAGCGTCATGAGTACTTGCATGTCCAGATCAAACCTGCCTGCTGCTCGAACTTGCTTTTCTGTGTTGCACAGATATGTACTCTCATGACCATCATGAACCAAAGCTTGCGGTCTGTAACCTCCACTAACAAAAGGTCTTTGTAAAACGTTTACAGCTATATGGAGAATGCGATAAACAAATAGAGACTGTCTACGTTACTTGTGCTAAACATGTCTGTCTGCATGTGTGTTTTAATAATTTGTGTATGTATACAGGACAAACTATTGAACAATGTGCCTCATCTCCATTTGTGCTTCTGCGGTATCCAGTCCGTGTACTTTGAAGATTGCTTGACGTATGAATGTCTTTTTATTTAAGACTGAAAAACCAAAAGTTTTTTTTTCATGCTTGCTGCTCTGAGAACATTGACTTTACTGTGTTGTATTTGTTAGTATAACATTGCACATTACCTGCTTTTCAGCAGGGAATTAGGTGTTTTTTTAACTATCTGGCTGTAACCATGGCTTACTATAAGTTATAAGTCAGCTAATCTGTTATTATATAGAAAATGTTTACATTTGCTACAAGAAGGGCTATTTCTTTGCACCCACAGTACATCCCATCTGTTTATTATTTCCAATGTCCTACAAAATTGTGACAAATTCAGTCATTCTAAACTACAACTTCTCACCCTGTGTCAACTTGAACGCTATCATGGGGGTGTAGCATAGCAACATTGAGATGCTGAAAATGTCCTAACTTTTGATTGCACAGAAATGTGTACTGCAATACAGCTAATGTATATAATAATGTTACATTTATTTAGGAATCCTAAATGTATATGTGAAATTGGTTATTAGGTAATGCACTGCTTAATTAAATAGCCTAACAAAACCACTACTAGTTTGTATAAGCATTTCATTTATCATACCTGCTAAAAAAAAATGTTGTGTTCAAATGGCATTAGCCAAAATCTCAAGTAAAGCAAATAGATTTTATGTGGAAGCAATTTCAGACATGCTCACTTTATATTATATTTTTAGAATGTTTTAAAATATTTTTTGACTATAAGATTATTTATAGCAATGTGTTAATTTGATTATTGTTATATTTGACATTGCTCTTTTAACAGATATGTGCAATTATCCTTGACTGACTAAAGCTGGTTGTAGACATTAGAAAGTTCTTCCATTGTCTGTAGAACATAGATATGAATGCTAGTATCGCAGGAGTGTAAATGTCTATGGAGTCAGTAGACACCACTGACTTTATCTTATTGAGGTTTTCCCTCACATTCTTTGTACAGATTGTCTGCAGGTGCCATGGACATCCCAATTTCTGCATATTCCTACAAAGATTGTCAGACCTGGGAGATTTGTATGTAATGTATTTTTAAGTACCTTTAAATAGACTTGCATGCATTGTTGTGCATTGTTGTTCATAACCCATATGGGCAGGTTTTCCACCACTTTCTTTCCCAGTGACAAAATAGGAAGTTGGAGGAAATCTCAATGTGGACCCAGTGACAAAAACCTGACAGACACTCGGAACCTTCTCTACTCTAGTTTTATTGATGTGTGTGTCCTGGTTGAAGACATTCTCCATATTTCCTGACTCAACAAGAAGTAAAGTTGGGGGGGAAGTCTCACACATTTTTACAAAGACAACGAAAAGCATGACAGAAGTTCTGCCCTCACTCTACGCAAAAAAGTATTGGGTAGTGGTTTACGTTAAGGTTGAATGTTCCACTTGACTCATGGGCAAATGGCTATTTGACCGTAGACGCACAGAGCTAAATGTGAAAGATGCAGCTGTAGCAATAAGATCATTGCGATATGGAGCCTTTGTACAACCAGTTTTGACATGTTAACTGTTTGATATTCAATCATTGCCAATCATTTCAGATTTTAGGAATTTTGTTTAAACACATTTGAGTTGTCAAAAAGGTCTAAAGGTACACACAGACATTTGCATGTTGTTTCTCTCTAAGATAAAGTTGGTTCTGGAGGTACTTTGCTTCTCTTTCCTCTCCTGCTGATTGCATAGACATCAATATGAATGTTCAGTATGAATGTTTATGTAGATAGACCTTTACAATAAAAGAATCTTTCCACAGCCAAATCTTGCCAATGTGTCCAACCAATAGGTAATTGAACAAAGCACATCAAAAACAAACATATTTGCTCTTATTGGTGTTGTGTGCACTTCAGATTTTCTGAGGTACATTTAAAGCATTTTTTTTAGCATACTGCTTTTTGTGTTCCACATTTTAGTAAAAGGGGTCTTGATGCAGTGCCATTCAACACACCAGCACCATAAAAAACCATGAGTCAACTGTGAAACCTGCTGTTTCTTTTTTGTTCATTGGGGGACACGTGATTCAATGGTATTTGGGTTATACTGCTGCTTAGGAGGATTTGGACACTGGCAAACAAAAACCAGTGAACAGCCTAATATAACTCTTCCCACTCCCAAAACACCTCATTTTTTTTTTTTTTTTTGCTGGTGTCCTATGAGAATGGATGCATTTTTTTCTTCTTTCAGGAATCCGTTACATGCTGCTTGAGCTAGTCTCTTAATGCAGCTTTTCAGATCTGCATAGTTTCAGCAATAGCTGTGGAGGCCATGCCCAGACTCCAGTAGATGACTGTGGGGCCCATCTGCAATGGACCCTTCTGGCAATGGGCTCTGCTTGTGGTGCTTTTTAGACCCCTGTTAGATAACCTTGGCATAGCCTCTGGTGACCCAGTTTCAGAAGACTCATTTATGAGTAGGCTGTGTGGGCTGAGCCCAGGGAGCTAATTTGTTTAATAAAACAATTGGGGGGCATGATTACGCTCTTTTCTTCCATGAATATACAAGAAAAAGGTTAAAACACTGAGGAATTGAGTTGGGTGGCACATGGTGGAGTGGCACACACACACACACACACACACAAACACTCTGTGCTCTTTTCCCACTATTGAGAGATGGAACCTTCCTGTCCTTGTCCTGGTCCATGCTGCTGCCTTCAGTGACCTGGAAATCTCTGGCCATATAAACTTTTCCTGCTTACAACATTTAGTTTGTAACTGCTCAAGGGTTTTACCTTGGAGCTAAGTTGTTCTGTTTGCAGGCAACATGTTAGTCCACAAGCACTAGTGGAGCTGTCCTGCTGTATCTGGTCTCCCTGGTTTGCAATGCAGTTTAACAGTTTTAGCATGGCCTGCAGTGTTGACTCTCAAGAACCTGACTCCCTGGTCTAAAATGTTGTCCATTACTTAAATTCTTATATTCCTCGGGAGGCCTTCTTGGCTCTATTGGGTGAGACCACCACCTTGAATTTAAACCAGGAGAATTTCACCCCAGGGATATATGGTCCAAATTGCAGTTTTTATTGCGGATTCTGAGGACATAAGCATACCACTATGCTTTCTCAGTCTGGCCCAGGTGGATGTGGTGTCCTGACTTGATCAGACTCCAGGCAGACGATTCATGGGCTCTTCCAAATTGACTAGATCTTCTGTTCCAAGGACCGATTTACCATCCTGGAAATGGTTGCTGGCTTTATTAGCTTACCTGTTGAAGCCCAGGTCTTGAAGGACAGGAGCCTCTGTGACTCTGTGATCCCTACAATCCTGAAAGCAGGAAATTTTACTTGTCGCAAGATTTACCATCACACATGGAAGGCATACTTCTTTTGTGCGAGAAAAGAAACTCAGAAAAAAAATACTCTGTGACGAATCCTGACCTTTTTACAATCAACTCTCATATTGCTCCACCTCATCACCTACCTGGTGATCGAAATGCACCCTCTCCTGTCAAGGCACGTTCTGTTAGATCTGTGAGTGCTTCTTGGACTTTTCTGCATCAGGCAACTGTTTCCAAGATTTGCAAAGTTGCCACCTGGTCTTCTATTCACTCATCCTTTAAGTTTAACCAGGTGAATTTACAGGCCTCCACTGATGCCATCTTTGGGTGTAAGGTGCTTTGGGTGGCTCTGAGTTGCAGGCAGCCCCCAGTTTATTTATCATTGAGCTTGTTAGCGTTTTGTTTGCTGTGAGCAGTCATCCAAGAGCAGTCCATCCCTCAGTTGGACTGCTCTTAGATGTCCCAAATGTCACTAATCCCTGTGTCCCTCAATGAACAAAAAAGAAAACCAGATATTGTTACTCAAAGTAAAATCTTTTTCTTTAAGTTCATTTAGGGACACAGGTGTGTTTTTGCCCATTCGCTTGGCACTGCTTTGTTACAAACTGAGGCATTTTAAGAGTGTGAGGGCTTATACTAAGCTGGTCACTTTTTTTTGTTTCCCAGTAGGTGGCAGCATAACTAGAATGTATCCCTCAATTAAGTATTTTACGTTCAGTACAAAAATACTGTTTCTCCACCCCAGTAGTAAGAACAGGTTTTAAATCATCTTAATTTGCCAGCATATTTACTTTTTTAGGGACACATTTAAGTAGAAAGAGGTCAAGGATATTTTTAGATCTTTTTCTATGCAGATGCTCAAGATTACTTGAACATTATGCAACAAATGTGCAAACTAAACTCTGAGAATGAGTGCTTTTAATATAATATGTTTCATAAATGAGCACTGCTGGTTCTAGTCGAGGGCATCTGTCTTATGTGCTGGTATTATGCAAGGCTGCTCAGGAGAATCTCATAGCCTTCAGTGATAGAGGTCACCTGTCACCTGTGGAAGCAGACACAATGAGACTGTATGATATTTAATGCTGAGCAACTCTATAAATTTACTATCTATAAATATTTGCATGTTTTTTTTTCTATATTTGCGCTGAACCAGGTAATTTGATACATTAGCAAATACCTATTTGGCATCACAGGCAGTGATGGCTTGAAAAAAATATATAAATATTGTAATTCCTCACATTATTGTTACATATGCTCACTGCTTTCTATTTACCTCACTTTGTTAGTAGATGAAAATATGTTGTAATCCTTTTATGTTCAGCGTCTAAAGCATTTTTAAAAATCATTTGTGTTATTTGGCTGTGTTTATTGAAATATTGTCTGTGATGCAATTCTTGTCAGCCGGTGCCCCTGTTAGTTTTTTGTTGTTGTTATACTTGGTTAGTAACCTAATTACTCTGTCACTTAAAATAAACATAGCTGCTAACAGTTATCAGTTAACAGTTATAGAGTGCCGGCACCTAGAGATTACTACACATATATGCAGCATCTTTCCCTTTCATGCTGGGCCATTTCAAGCAGGCAAAGCCCCAACACTTATGGGTTGTTTCAGAATTTGCCCAATCCCTCCTACCCACACACACTTTGCTATTGGTCATCAATGCCGCATTTACTCACCCAAAAAAATGGGCTGAAAATCTCGGCTTATACTCGAGTATATACGGTAACTATTGGGAAAAAGACATATGTTTTTATCATGCAT